TACGCGTGCAATTTTTAAGGCAACAAATTATTTTTCCATTGTTCTTTGCTGCTTTTAAGCTGCACTACAAATGCAAGCTTTGTAGAATAGAGTTATTCTGGAAGCATTAAAAACAAAACCAGGGTGTCCATAAGATACATGTAAAAGTAAATGCCAGAGGTAGTTAAGATTAAAAATAAAGCAAACTGAAACACCTTTATTCTTTAGGCTTAGGAGAAAGTATATTAAAAATACTGTAAAATAACAAAAGAAAAAGGAGTTGGGCAGAAAAAATAGAAGTTGATGAGCTGGTATGTATATCAACACTGTCATTCAGGTCTGCATCTAAATGAATAACTACTGTGTCCCTCATCCCACACTCAGCTGGACCTCCTTGCTCTCATCAGTGCCTTTCACAAAGATTTTACAGAAATTATTGCTGCCCATTTAATCCAGCTGACCATCCAATAATTTAACAAGGGAAGACTTCAAACTAGAAATGAGTGGTGTGATTGGGATGCTGCTTTGTGCACTGCAGGGATTGCTTCTATCAGTCTTGTTTCCTTACAACAAAGGATTTAGCAAACAAATATTGCTATTCCTTTTCAAACAGAATAACTAATAGATTGTTTTCTTGCTTGGAGCGTCTAAATCTCTTTCCATATGGACTTTTTCGGTCTGAGAAGCTTTATCTGGTTTCCTTTCAGGGTCACACATCACCACTGCTTTCACAGCCTTGCTTTGCATATACAAAGCTCATGCTCCTGCCACATCCCCTCTGTTTTCAGCAGGATCAGATGGTGTAAGCCTTCTGGTTTGTATGGTGATTTGTATTCTTTCTAGCTGATGTGATTTATAAAGAAGGTGAGGAATTGCTCCTTCTGTTGGGCTCAGAGTGCTCAGTCCACCAGCTGGATGTAACCAGCTGTGGGAACATGTGCACCATGTAGGTTGCTGCCTTGATGATAGTCAAAGTTCTACTGGAAAAATTGCCTTTCTCTCTTCCTTTTCTTAAAACACAAATTAGAAAAAATCCTGAAGCAGGTTTTGTTTAAAACTGTGCCAGAGGCCCAAATGTGCCCCTAATCTCAAAATAAAAAAACTTCCCATAGAGTTTTTAACATGTTGTCTCTGATATAACAACCTGGTATTGCTACATTTTGTAAAATTCCCTCTGTAACAGCATAGTGTCATCAGGACTAGCTGATTTCTGATTACTTTTCACTTGCCTTGAGATATACATAAAACAGTACGACTTAGTGCCATTAGCATGGTGCAGTTTACAGCAGGTGGCTGAGGTGATAAAGCCACTGGCAGCTTGCAGCATGACTGATTTTTTGGTAGTGAAGGAAGACTGCTCATATTGCCAAAGAAGTCAAACTTCCCTGCTTTTGAACCCCTTTGTCCCTTCAGTTTCTTCCCTTTGTCCCTTCAGTTTCTTCTAAAGAAACTTCCCTGAAGTTTCTTTAGAAGACGCATTTTTACCTGCGTCTAGAACCAGCCAGCAGAGGTTGCCATTGATTTTCCTGTTATCTGCTCAGCAGAGCTTGGACTTCTCCTAGCAGACCTGAAATGTACGGCTGCCAGGAGTGCTTGTTCTCAGAGTGAGCACTCTGGGCACAAACAGCAGGCACCAGCTGGGGCTGCTCTGAGACCAAGGTGACTTACTTGATGGTTACTGTGACATTTGGAAACTTCAGTAGTTACCAGTCCTTAAATCTGTGTGGAGCAGGATGTACTGAGCACGAAGTGCCTGTGATCTGCTTTGTCAGGCTGTACCTTTGCTTATTTCGTGCCCCTGTGTACCTTTGGGGCTCCCTAATGTGCATTTTAAGGTGTTTTGGCTGTTCACATCCCTGGTGCCAACCACGATCTTCTCCAAGGAGAAGTGGGAGAAGTGCTGGTCACTGCCATGCCTGTGCACGCTGTTTGTTCTCCTCCTCCTCCCCCACAGGAGGAGTGGGAAGAGGAGGAATAAAAATTGCTTCCTATTGTTCTGCTCTGGTATGGATAACTGGGGCTTAAAGCTGTGCTCAGGGTCTAAATTTAGTCATTAAATTTGTTGTTCCAGCCGTTTACCATTCTGAGGTATCGGAGATGGTTTAATTTTTTCTTAAATGCTCTGATAGAAGACTTTGGAACGATCACATGCCCTTGCTGCAAACCACTCTTACACTGCTGCAGTTTGTGCTGCTTCACATTGCTACAGACTTGTCACTCAGACTTGGACACTTGCTCCAGGCAATACTCGAAATACAAGATGTTAACTCAGGAGCAGCTTATTAAAATTTTGCCTTTGGTTTGCCGTGGAGCTAGAAGGACTTAAATCACTGTAGTTTCTAATGACTTGGTTGGTTAAAGCCTCCAAGACAAGTCTTCTGCTGGTCAGTAGCTCAAAATGCTGTTCTGCAGTTGGTGTTTTGATATTTAAATTTGCTGTTTCAGTGTTTAAGGATGCATGGAGTGTCTGTAAGATAACTTTGATGCTTGTACTTCTGTGACTGGATTTATTTTTAGGAAGCACAAAGTAACCAAAACTTAGTCAGGGAATAGCTGTATCTGTTTGCAGGAGTAGAGAGCTGAGTTAATTGGTTCAGTTTGGAAAATAATGTGTTACAAGTATTTGTATTTAAACTGGTGTTGATGCTATTAGGGTACTGGTACTACTGGTACCAGTATCAAAAATAGTACAGGTGAGTTTTGTAACATATATGTGTTAAGTTTGGAAGTAATTAATTTGGGGATGTAGTTACAAAGTGGGCTGTCATTTTGTCTTTTGAGGAAGACTAGAGCGCCCAATTAATAACACGGGATTGTTCAGGCAAACAGTTTCGGTGGGGCGATGACGGTAGTTCATTAAGTTATGTCTGGATTGTGCACGCACATCTCTCTAGGAGGGATGTTCTGGCTTCTTCCAGAGGCACCCGGAGCACAGCGGCTCGGGGGCCGCGGGTACCCGGCTCGGTGGGGCCGGCTCCCGGTGCCGCTCCCGGTGCCGCTCCCGGTGCCGCTCCCGGTGCCGCTCCCGGTCAGGTGCAGGCAATCATCGCACGGGGGGAGCAGGGAGGCAGCGGCAGCCGCTCCAGCCGCACCGCGGTAACAGGACTGACTCCCTGACAAGTATTGGACATAGCGGCTGGTGAGGATGCGTGTAGGTGAGAAAGCTTCTCTCTTGCTTTAGCAGGGAATTGGAGAAACGAGTGATTGTATACGTGCTTTGGTGCTTATAGACAAAGGGAGCAAATAGGCGGAAATATTCGGGGATGTTCTAAAATCTGAAAGGACTTTCTGTACAGCGTGGCGGTGCACGACAGGAAATTAACTCCAAAAAAGAATGCTTTCTCTCAAAGTGCTGCGACAGAATTGAACATTTGGCTTTTCTAGTATCTGAAATTCCTCCTGAAGACACGGCAAGGACTATCAGAATCATCAGAGAGATCCTGGTACTTTTAAAGAGACTTAAAGCAAATGCCAGCTGAATGACCTTGGAGATGATTTTATGTGGATTCATTAATTTTCAATGCTGGTCTTCTAGTCTCAGGAACTCTAGGATTAATGATGTTTTTAACGTTTTAGGGGCCTTTCAAAAAACAAGATTGTATACATTTAATTACCTGCCTAATGATTCCTGAACTAATCAAGCATTTACTTAAAACTGAATAGAGAAGATGCTTTTAATGTTTTCTCTCTCCATAGCTGTGAATAAAATGAACAAGGTAATGTCCTGCAAATAGAAGAACAATTTTTAAGCAACTGTTTATTATGCAGATCATCTAATAAATATAGAAACCTTAAACCCCTGAGAAGATGAAGCTGAGCAACAGAATAATGGAGTAGTAAACAATGGCAGCTTTTCTAGTCAAATCAGCATTTCATTAGCTTCCCAGCAGAATGCAGATGGAAGTTTTTGAGCTCGTTGTTTGGGGTTTTGTGAAATGATTCAGTTACTGCTACAGAGGTGAGCAATATCATGGATATACCTATGAACTCCTGGGTGCTGATCCACTGTAGTAGATTTGCAGAGTTTCTAAAGATGATTTTTTTTAATTGCCATTGCTGAAATTAAATTCAAGAGGATTTATTTTGTCTGTGGGGACACTGAATTATGATTCTGGCATTCCTAATTGTAATGGACTATAACTGTTTAAAGGAACTGTAAATATTGACATGAGTTTCCAAAATCTATTTCTAAATTATTTTGATTTTTAAATGAATAGACATGATCTTCCTAATTGTATGTGAGATGTATGTTTTCTTTATTGGGAGCCAGAGGACAAATCCCCTTCATCCCCCACCTGTCTCCCCCTAAATAAAATTCATTATTCATACCCAAATAGTGGTGAGTCTATTGGAATTAACCTTGACAAAGATGCTTTCCTTACCTTTCCAATGAGTAGCATGGATAAGATGGAGTACCATCTTCTGAAACAAACAAGAAAAGACAGCATTAGAGGATGAACTTTTTCCTTTAATCTCCTATCAGTCTGTGATTTAAACTAAGACATAAAGATTATCTCCAGTAACTGCTGGTCCAGGAAACCTGAGCTGTACTGAGGTTCCTTCTTCCCTTCCTCTCCCTCTCCCCAGTATATTCCAAAGTAAACTACTTTCTCAGGAAAATAAGTCAGATATTTCCCTCCCCTCCTTCCCTGGGAAATGAATGTGTCTCTTTTGTCAGTTTTTATTTCTGTTTGTTTTAGAAGTGCCTTGTGTTTGCTAAAGATGGGTCAAGAGCACTGGAGGAGCTGATCAGTGGCCTTTCTCTTTCTGGCTTTTGTTTTTCTTTTCTTTCTTTCTCTCTTTCTTTCTTTCGTTCTTTCCTTTTAAAGCCAAGGTGTGCCAGAGGTGATGCACTGATGCTGAGGAGGCATCAACAGCTATGGGACTCTAATCCTCTCCCATGTAAGCACTGGCAGTGTCTGCAAGGAGAGACCGTGAGACGCTGAAGCAGAGTTTAGCTGCTGTTCAGCAGGTCACCTGCTCTCTAAGGCTCAGATTGCACTGTTCCCTAAGCACAAAACATGAACCAGTCCCGATGGATTGAATGGAGGACTCTGAATATGAGCAGTAGTGTTATGAACATATCTGAGCACCTCTCCTGCCCTCTTGGATTTGGTCACTACAGTGCAGTTGACATCTGTATCCTTGAGACAGTCGTTATTGTCTTGCTAACATTTTTAATTATTGCGGGTAACTTAACTGTGATATTTGTTTTCCACTGTGCTCCACTCCTGCATCATTACACCACCAGCTATTTTATTCAGACCATGGCCTATGCTGATCTTTTTGTTGGAGTCAGCTGCTTGGTTCCTACTTTGTCACTGCTCCACTACTCAACAGGTGTCCACGAGTCCTTGACTTGTCAAGTTTTTGGATACATCATCTCTGTGCTCAAAAGCGTATCTATGGCATGTCTTGCTTGCATCAGTGTGGATCGCTATCTCGCTATAACAAAGCCTCTCTCCTATAATCAACTGGTCACACCTTGTCGCTTGAGAATCTGCATCAGTCTCATCTGGATATACTCTTGCCTGATCTTCTTGCCTTCTTTTTTTGGTTGGGGAAAACCTGGTTACCATGGAGATATTTTTGAATGGTGTGCTACCTCCTGGCTAACTAATGCCTACTTTACTGGCTTTATCGTGTGCTTACTATACGCTCCTGCTGCCTTTGTCATATGTTTCACCTATTTCCACATCTTTAAAATTTGCCGGCAGCACACCAAAGAGATCAGTGACCGCAGAGCTCGATTTCCTAACCACGAAGGGGACGCTGCTGGGGAGGCTGGGCACAGCCCCGACCGCCGCTATGCCATGGTTTTGTTCCGGATAACCAGCGTGTTCTACGTGCTCTGGCTCCCTTATATCATATACTTTCTGCTGGAGAGCTCCAGGGTGTTGGAAAACCCAGCACTCTCCTTCCTAACTACGTGGCTTGCTATAAGCAATAGTTTCTGCAACTGTGTGATATATAGCCTCTCCAACAGCGTTTTCAGGCTGGGACTACGGAGACTGTCAGAGACAATATGTTCATCTTGTGTGTGTTTAAAAGACAGGGATGTACGGGACCCTAAGCCAAGGAAACGGGCTAATTCGTGCTCCATTTAAAGAAAACTGGTGCATGTAATCAAATGCTGAGTTTTGGTAGTGTTTGTGGTATCTGGAAACTTGCCAGAGGGAAATGTTTACTTGAACAGCTTGCCGTGGTGTTAGAGTGAATTTAAAAGGGATCCTGGAAAAGGCAAAGGCAGCTGTAAGAAGGGTCACTGAACTCCTGTAAAATAGTCAGGAGAACAATTCAACAGAGATGATGAAGAAAGTCAAAAATAAAAATCTTCTAAAGGGCATGAAGTAACTAGCACATCAGAGGAGGTTCCTCGTAAAACAAATTAGTTACTATCTTATATTTTCCCCTGATAGACAAGTTGTCTTTGTGTCAGAGTATACTGTAGCCTTCAGAATTTTAATGCATTTAAGAGGAAGCAATCAACACCACAGTATGCAGCTATCCGTAAATTATATACTTGAGGACTCTAGTAGATGCTGCAGGTAATAATCAGCTCTATCTTTGCTCACATATTGTACAATTTTCAGTTGTACAAAAAATCTGCAGTGCATAAACCCTACCCTGAGCATGATGCTTTGGGATAAACTGGCACCTTGTGGTACAACTTAGACAGAAGCTCTCCCTCTCATTTCCCCTTTTTTTCCCATGCTGTGCATCCCTCTGTTCCATTGTGTGCAGGTGGGTGAGTTTGAGGGCACCTATGAGGTTACCTGAGTTCCAAACCATTCTTTCTCAGGAAGCAATGGCCCTCCCTGGCTGGCTGCAGCTGCCCATGTCCGGTGATTTCTCCAGTCGTTCACTCTCTTGACCCACTTCAATCAGCACACGGTGTCCATGTAGTGTCCTTTAGGGTGTACTGAAGTTTTTCCTTACTGGTTCCACAGGTGCTCCTAATGCAGATATGATAATGGCACACAGCAGTGTGCAGCATTGCTTAGAAAATTAAAAATAACTGACACTTTACTTTGGGAAATCTAAAGAGCTTACTGTTGTAGCTGTCAGTCTGTTGTGTGAACCTCATTTCACATACCGTATTTTTTTTTTTAAGAGAAAACGTAAATTGTGGTCTGTGCCTAATGTTTTCATAGCACATGGAGTAGTCAATGCTACAGGATCAAAAAATTTACACTTGCTTTAAGAGAAATACTTCTGTGCAGCTCTTTGTTAGATGAGTGTTCTCAGAGGAGGTAATCAAGACAGTTTGGTGTTAAATACAGGCTGAGAGCTTTGGTATGTCCTTTTGTACTGAACTGACTTTCAGGTCCACTGATGAAATCTTTTTCATTTTGCAAGGGCACACCTAAGGTTTGTGTAATAAATTGCCAGGGGTTCAGATGCATGCCAGTCAATACAATATTTAAATTATAACTTTGAACCAAATGTAATTTTCTTAGATGGTTATTGGCTTTTAAAAAAGGCCCAATGATTGATTATTGGTGCCTTTTAACACTGCACTATTATTCCTTCTTTCACCAAAATGCGTATGTAAAGATTGTGCCTATTACTTTTTGTAATGAAAGCTGACCACGTGTGCACACTTGTGGTTTGACTCTAGAGCTCCCTTAATACTGTACTATTTGTTCTGTTGAGGTGGTTCTGAACCCCTATACATTTTTTTTTTAAACCTGTAAGAAAGTTGAAACAATGGAATAAAGTAGTATTATGTCAATCAAACTCAGCCTTGGCGTTAGTTCCCTGATGTTACGCTCTGTTCTCTGGGAAGGTCCTTTTGGGTTAGGACTTGAGTGAACAATTTCAAATTCAAATTTCAAAGCTGCTTACTTAATGTCTAAAATGGTTGTATTCTGGTTTCTGGCATTGTACATCTTCAAAGTAGATTCAAACATGACTTGAAACATTCCTCGAGCTGAGCTGTTGCTGACACCCAGCTCTCACAGATATTAGGGAAAAATGAGTAGTGTCCTCTGCATGGATCTCATAATGCTCCATGTCTACAGGAATGTATTTGCTGCCTTCTTTCGACAAGGTCATGTTTATTTCAGGAGGCTCTTTTGGCTCACTACTGCTCTGTACGGTTGTGTAACCCCAACTCTTCCTACAAACATGACTTGGATTCATTTAGTTTTGTCATTTTTTTTGTAGTTTTTTTTTTTTTCCCAAGCAAGGCTTGGACAAGGAGCAATGAAATATCTTATTTCTCACAATTCTCAGGGCTGGTTTCTTACCAGTAAAGTCATTTTATATCTGTGGTCCAGAGCTGGCCACTCAGAGCTTCTGATTTTCACTGGTGTTTCTGGGGACAAGTTTCTGTGGGACGTCCTAGAATCCTAGAAAAGTTCTGGCAGGTGCTTAAAGTCAAACTGACATTGACTGAACCCAGGCTGTGGGCAGCAGATGTGTTGTGACTGTGGTGCTGTAACTCCAGATGTGTCAAACACCTGAGCAAACTCATGTGGCTCAGTTGTGCCTTAGTTGAACCCTGTTTGTGTGACCTCAGCAAGTGCAATTGATGTGCAGCTACTTCAAGGTTTATTGCCTGAAAATGGTGGGTCAGGGGTAGGGCTTGGCCTCAGGGGCTGCACCTCAAAGTTTGTTCACCCTGAGAGGCACAGTCAGCAATGTGTTCCTCTTTGCCATCATGTTTAGTGTGTGGATTTGTCGGGTGGAACTAGAGATTGCCTTTTTCCTCAGGCTGTTCTTGGAGGGAGAGTATATGAAAGAAATCCAATACCCTGGAACCAGCTTGTAAGTTCCAAGGTTCTTCACCCTCTTTTTAAGGGTTTTTTGGTTTGTTGAACACTGGCTTCATGTTGTTGGTGCAGGAACACTAATTTGCTTTCCTGGACTTTGAATTTCAGCTGCTGTAAAGTCACATTTCACCCTATTCTTTATAAGTCTCCTGGAATCTATCAAATGAAACATCCTCAGCAGATTTAAATATTGCTTTTCTTCTTTCTGTTTCCCAGGTGACAGGATTTGACCTGGTCAGTCACGTGAATCTTTACATTTAGTATGTGTGTTTCATTTTATGGAAGTGTTTTCTAAACTAATGATTTAAAATTTTTATTTGAGGGAGGTTTTGTTACTGTTTACTAATGCTGTCTGAGGATTCCAGCTGGTGCCAAATTCTCTTCCAGAGTTAGAAGGCTGGGCATTTTAATGGATTAAAAAAGTCACAGAAATTCCAGTCACCCAATCTGTCACTTTTGATTTTCGTTCTGTCATTATATAGAGCTGCATCTTCTTGTAGGAAAACCTGATTAAACAATGGTGCTTTTAAAGTTGGCTCTCACTTGCACGTGCCTGGTAAATAGGAAACCAGACACTGACTATAGAAGCTGATGTGAAAAAAATCATTGTTGATAATACAGGTAATAAAAAGGAAACATGTAAAATACTAAAAAAAAAAATGAAGCTATGTTCCTGGTAGATAAACAAAACAAATATAAATATATATACAAAGAGGTCCTTTAGGCAGTTAGATTGTTGTGCTGTTACATTTCTCTGGAATACTTATGTTTGCAGCATACCAGGGGCAATGTCAAGGTCGATTACCTTACCATTTTTGGAACCTCATGTCTGCAGCCTAAGGAAAAGTCCAGAAAACTGTGTAATGGCAGCAAAAGATTACCAGAGAAGTATTTTTTTCTTCACTAAATTCTATGTGCTCCCTTATTTTCTGGCTAAGTAAATTTCTTTTTAAAATACTATTTTTTACAGCAAATGGAACGGTAGGGATGAAAACCACATTGCTATCTTTTAAGGTTTACCTGTTGTCTTTCCCTGTTTCTGCTTAAGAATCCATTTTGTAATCATACCTGGTAAAGCATGAAGTACTATGCAAGTTTTATTTTTGTGCAATCTTTGTGCTTTCCTTGTTGAAAAGTTGAGAAAAGTTGCTTTATTGAGCTGCCTTTCACAGGTAGTTTAGTAAGACCTTTTAAAAATAATGGTTTTATTGGGTTTGTGATTAATTGCCATTCGTTAGTGTTTGACAGTGAAATATTCTTGAGTACAGTTAGTTTTTACACTCAGCAAAAGCAGTAAAATGTCCTTTTATGGGTAAATTAACTTAGCAGTCAATATTAGAAATCGAGATTTAATGATGACTTATTTCAACAGCTATTTCATTTCAACGTGGAGCTGTTTTATCTTTCCATATTACAGTTGTAGCTAAGCACATAAATATACATATTCTTGCTTTTTGAAAGCTGGTGTTGGGATGCTGGGGGTCTGTATCTCTGAGCCGAAGCCCTGCTGTTCCCGGGGTGGGAATATCCCTTTAGCAGTTTTCCACTCGGCTGCAGCACCATGGGCAGCACCAGTCCTGGAGCTGAGTGTGCCAGGAAGCAGTGCCAGGTGTTGCTGTGGGGGAGGAATGTCACTGAAGGTGGCAGTGGCCTCCCCAGCTGATTTGTAGATCTTTCACTTTTATTGTCCCTGTCACCAAAAGGAGAAGTTTAAGGCTTTGACTTCATGCCGGCCCCCTGTTCCCTCTGGCTCTTTTTCTTATGGATAGAATGGTGCATCTTTCTGCTGAAGAACTGAATTTGATTGATTTTGTTGGGTTTTTTCCCCAGAAAATTTTCATGTATGTCATTTGAGTGGCCAAACCAAACACTGCTTTGTTACTAGGTGCCAGTTAAATAGCAGACCTTTCCAGAAATGGCAGCATCACTGAGGTAGTGTTTTCCTGTCATTTGCAGCATTGCCTGGAGCATTGCTTAAAGGAAGCACTTTCCAAAGATTACATGTTTTTTGCTAAACCAAATATAGAGTTCAAGTAAACCTGATTTTCCTCCCCATATTTTACACAGACATATACAATTTTTTTTCTAAGTATGTGCTGAATTTATACATAGATCTCAGCATTTTTAACCAAAGCCTATGCCATTATTGTTGATGGCATGAAAGCAATGTAGAAGGGTATTTAAGAGGAGCTTCCTACACGTTTTTTTCTAGTAATTCTGTAAATAAATTATTCCTTTCCCCCTCTGATATTAGGACAATCCCCTGAGCTCCATGAGCTGTAAGTGCTAAAGGAGTGGGATGTGAATGGAGAAGAAGCTGTTAATGGCTC